CCAATGAGCTGGGAGCAGAAGTGGTGAGTCTCATGTCTGGACGAGCATGTCACTGACTGCTGTGATGCCCTCTGGAGTGTTGTTTCTTGCTGCCACAATGAGCGGTGGTGTTTGGGGTGGTGTCTGCTCCATCAGCCTGGGTCCTTGAGTGAGGTGATGTGGAGCAGAGCTCCCAGTTCCCCTGTGATGGACTTCTATTGGGAGCAAGAAATTAATCCCTTGTTCTCAGCTGCTAAGATTTGGGACTGTTTGTCACCACAGTGTAAGCCAGCCTCTCCTGATGGAATCAATAATTCAGTGGAATTATGGTGGGTTTGAGAGGCATTCCATCACTTGCAGTACAAGTGATCCTGCATTACCCTCATCTCACCTCTGCAATGAGTACTGTCCTCCCATCCTAAGGATGGGCCACATTCAGAGAGGTCAACCAGGCTCCATCATGTCTCATGAAAGACCTTGGGTGAGTCACTCGCTGTCTCGGGCCTCAGTTTCCTCTTTTGGAATCAATCAGCCTCTCAGCTCACTCTGGGGATGAAGAGGATCAGGGCAGTGACATGAGCTGTGTGTTTGCTTTCTCTCCGTCATCACCTTGAGCCTGCCTGTGGGTCAGATGAGGGGAGGGTTGCAGCCCCACTTTTCCCCAATCTCCTTCCTGAGAGTTCACAAGTGTGTCCCTCCAGGACACCCTGACGCTCCCATCGCCCTCTACTAGGGTGTCAAGAACCAGAGAACTGCAGCTTCCTGACCATTCCCCATCAGTTACTGCAAGGTCGCAGCCCGGGGTGATGTCTGGGGCACCCAGACCTGCTTTGGGAAAGAGAGAGTGCAGTCTGGACCCCAACCCTTCCTTCTACTGCCAGGGAAGCTGACTTACTCAGTGCCACCCCGAGTCTGCATGCTCCCTCTCAATCCTGGGCTCCTTTGGGCCTCCTGTTGGAAGGAAGGCTCTTCCCCTTCCTGTCTGGGAACTTGGTTTGCCTGGGGGGGTCCCCTGGCACCATGTGCAGCCCAGCCTAACTGTTGTTGCCCCAGATATGCCAACAGAAGGCCAGGACCAGGCCTTCCCATGGAATATGGAAGACTGAGCATGTGCACTTCCACTCTTAGGGGCCCATCACACCAAGAGTGAAGGAGCAAGGAGTATAAATTCTCAACAGTGAGGGGATTGGGGGAGGGATGATCTGCAGTCAAGAACCATCAATACATGAATGGGGGAGTCAAACCTTTACTCAAATGCCACCTTCTTGGTGGAACCTACTTGCTTCTCAGAACTGCAGCACCCCACTGCCCTAGTTTTATTTTTTTCCTGTAGCATTTATTACACTCTAATATACACCTATTACTTATTATCATATTTACTGTGTCTCCCAGTAGCACAGAGATATTGTTTTTTCCCTGCTTTGTCTCAGAGTCTAAAAAAGAACCTAACACATAAAAATATTAAATGAAACAATGAATTGGTCAATCAATTAATGGCAGAGTGATGGACAAAGCAGTGGGCAGAGAGGAGAGAGGGGACAGAGCCCAGGAGGGAGCCATGTGTCCCTGGACCTGTAAAGGCCACAGAATGAGGCGTGAAGATGAAGACAGGAGCCTCCTTGGGAGTGTGTAAGTGGATCAAAAAACCCTCCCCTGCTGTTCAGACCACGGGCAGCTGGGGATCTGCCCTCTTCCTTGTGGCAACAAATTTCCTTTCAAAAACTGATGGCCCTGGGAAGAAAGCTCTGTATTCTGCCATTTAGGAGGTCTCCCAGCCTAGCATTGGCTTCCCCCAAAAAGTGAGGCCCCCCACCCCCTACCAAAGGTGGTGTCAAGGGGAGGCTTTGAGGCTGGGCAGCTTGAGCCGGAATGCCAGCAAACCCACTCACTAGCTTCCAACCTGCGGAAATTACCTCCTTGTGCCTCAGTTTCCACATACGTGAAATGGGTAGACTGAGGGAACACACTCCTGGGGGCTGTGGAGAGACCAGAAATTTTGTGTAGAGTATGCGTAAAGGGCCAGAAACAGTGTCTGGCAGATTGCAAGTGCTCAGAAAATGTTATCATTGTATTACCATTTCTGTGCACAAGTCCCTCCTCAACCTAGCCAGCTTTTACTGATCTCAGCCTTAAATGTGGGGGAACAAGACGCTACAGGCTTCTGGAGACCAAGATGAGCCAGCAGGAAACAGATGTTGGCTGCTGCTGCCTCCTGCTGGTCACTCTGGGAACTCGATGCCCTTCCTGCGGTAAGGGGACTCCACCTGCAACTGTCAGGTGCTGTGCCAGGTGGCTTACACAGATGGCCCTATGCAATCGTCACAGCAACACTCTGTGGTGGGAATGTGGTGATGAGGACACAGGGGAAGTGGCAGGTTCTTTTTTTAATTCAATAAGGGCTGACTTCCACTCCTTGGATGGGTGAACCTGCAGTGGGTACTGGGTGGTGGGTGTAGTGAGACCACTCTAAGGCAGGAGATCACACATGTGTGCATATACATACACATAAACGTATACAAACAGATCCATATATATGCACATAGACATACACATACATAACACACACGTGCACAATGCATCAGGAAAACCCCTGGCCTAAGTGCATTGAGGGCCCAAGGGCAGTATGGGTTGTCAGGGCAAGTCAGAGGACTGAGACCACTCTCACCAGGGTGAGAAAGGAGGCAGGAGGAGAAGGAAGGGGCCTCGGAGAAGGGGGCAGCCCAGGCTGAACAAGACCTGAGAGGACTCAAGGAAGGGGGGAGGCAGAGTCAGAAGGCAGCCGCTCAGCGGTGGGAGCCAGGAAGCAAGCTCTGGGCTCACCTTTAGGGCAAAGAGGGACTAGATCTGGACATCAGTGCCGGGGACTGCCGTGTCAGATGCAGACAGGCCAGGGGCTCCACTGGGGAAAGCGTGAGCTGTGCTGATGGCACATTTCATGTAAAATGGCATCACTGGTCTGTGTTTTCAGGGGGATGCACGAAATTTGTGCAAATGCAAAGAAAAAGGTCTGAGGAAGAAAGGAACCTGGAGACTTAAGTCATATCTGTAATGTTTTAAGTGTTTGAAAGAGAATGGACAAACGTGCTGCTTATGGAAGCACAAAGGAGGGAGAGCTGAGAGTACGGAGGGCAGGGACACCGAGGGCACAGAGACAAGGGTGCATGGCCCTCCAGGTGGGGCCCCTCAAGCCGGTGCCCCTCTGAGCTCCGGGCCCCTCCTATCTGTCCTGCCTGTGTGTGAAATCTTTTTTCTTCTAAATGTGAATGCCTTCAGCCCCTGAACATGCACATTTCAGTTTCCATAGTCCCTACCACTCCCTAGTATTAGCCCCAGGCCCCCCTCTTTTAGTTTCCTGCCTGGCTCCTGAAGATGCCTGAGCTCATGGCTTCTGGTCTATGCTGTGATCCCTGCAGCCATTTGTGTGGCGCTTGGGAGAGCAGAGCTCCCTTGGATGGGTGGCTGGCTGGGTGGACATAGGGGGAGGGTGCATGGACAGATGGATGGATTGCTGGGCGTGTGGGGTGGGGAGGGAGGGAACAGGTGGTCCCTATGTAGAATGGCCAGCCAAGGGAATGTGGAGCAGTGGTCACAGGGGCCCCATCTCCCCACTTGAGAGTTGTGCCCTTCATCCCCATGTCCCAGCTCCCAAACATGTGCCCACACTATCCTTCAGTGGGGGGCCCAGGAAAAGGAATAAACTTTATTGAGCCCTACTAAGTGCTTGCACTTGGTGTTCTTCAGCTCATCTGGTCCCCCTGGGAGGGAGATATTCTCTCCCTATTTTTCATGAGAAAATGAGGGGTCTGAGATGTGACTGTCAAGACTGGCCTCCCCAACCCACCTTCCTTCCATCCCACAATGCATTTCCAAATGACTAGCATTTACAAGGATGCTGTTTATAAAGTAGGTCACATACATTATTCTACTTGATCTCAACCAGCTCCTCCTGCCCCAACATTACAGTAACCCTTGAATGATATGGGCCTAACCTGTGTGGGTCCACTTATACATGGGTTTTTATATGGGGAAATTTTTTGGATTTTTGCAACAGTTTGAAAATACATTTTCCCTACCTTTAGGATATAGTATGTAACACATATAATATACAAAATGAGGTAATCAACTGTTTGTTACTGTAAAGCTTCTGGTCAACAATAGGCCGTTAGCACAGATGTTCTGGGGGAGTCAAAAGTTACATGTAGATTTTCAACTGTGCAGGGATTGGCACCCCCACCCCCAGCGTTGTTCAAGGGTCAACTTGTATTTTACACAAGTAAAAGTGAAAGAAGAACAAAATGATGCAAAGATCTTGGCTGTGCTGGGGCTCACCCTCAAGACCCCACCCCCCATGTCCCTGTGCACTGCTCTAAGAGACAGTGGCCAGGTCCCTGGCAGATGCAACACAGGGCTGCCCACTGGACCAGGTCAGACACACTCCGGACAGGCTGGTTTTGCCAGTGGAAAGCCATAGTGAGACCGCACCCAGGGGTGGGGCGCTGGTGACTGGGGTGCAGGGGGCACATCCTACACTTTGGACTGTCACAAGCAGTGTGGCTGGCTCTCTCCATTTTTCAAGAGAAGATAGAAATCTGGAATTATTTAAAATGTGAAATAATTCATATTTAAATGTGAAACCTCCATTTTTTAAAAAATGTTGGCAAGTAACTGGGAAAAAAAAACCATGTTGTGGGCTAAAGAGGACTCCCATGGGCCAAATCCCCACCACAGGTCTCTGACCTCCATGACCAGCGTGGGCCATATTGCGTGGCCATGGGCCCGGCACTGGGCTGGGTGTCGTCTGATGCGCCTGCAGAGCTCCGCTGTCCAGGGCCAGGTGTGGGCCCAGTTGACGAGGCAGGAGGCCTCTGAGGCAGAGGCAGATGGGCCCAGGGCGGACCACTCAGCCACAGTGCTTCCTCCTCCTTCAGTTTCCTGGGAACATCTAGTCTAGTTGTTCAGCAGCTGAGAACAAGGAGTCTCCCAAGGGATCAAAGATTCGTTAGGAAACACACCAATCTAAATGCATTTTACTTCATTTTAATTAAAAAATAAATAAATACATGCCAGGGGATTTTCTTAAATGAGGAAAAAGGTTGAAAGAACAAAACAACCCCAAGGCCCGCAGTGACTCCGCGTTTCCAGCCAGCAGGAGAGAGTGCGTCTGCCCCAGCAGGAGGGTTGCCAGGCTGCTGGACTCGAGGGCGCCTCTCCCGGTGGCTCAGTCCTGCTTCAGGGCTCGGACACCCTGCCTGGAGAGCAGAAGTTTCTGCTGGTGCCCCCGTTCTGTGACATGATCCTCACAAGGCCCTGCCGCTCAGGGCACTTGGACTTTCAGGGTAGCCGGGGAGAGTCTGCCACGGCAGCTGGAATCTGGAATGCGAGGTATGTGGGGACAGGGCAAACCTGTGTGACAGCTCCCACCCCTCACCAGCCAACAGATGAGGCCCAGACAAAAGGCTTGGGGGCCTGGGCCGGCAGCTCCATTCCCAAATGGCAGCCACACGTTGGAAGCCATTAGGGTTCAAGTTCACCGCAACCCAGGTTTCAGAGAACACAGGCAGCTCTCTGAGAACAGGGTATGTGCCTGAGGCAGGAGCCAACCGAGAGGCCCTGGGAACGAAAGTGGGGGGGACCAGAGTCTCCTCATAACTGCTCCCCCACAACTCCATGTGTCACGAGGCAAGGTCCTCAGGGCCAGCCTGGGAATAGCCATGGAGCAGGCAGGTGGGTGGCTCTCTTCCCAGAGCTCCAGGTCAGGACATCACGGTAGGGCCGAGGCTGGGCACAGTCCTGTCCCTGTGCATGCCTAGACCTAGACCTCGCCGGGACGCACCACAGGCCTGGGCGAGGCTGCCCCCTGGAGGGCTGGCTGCTTCCCCAGGAGCCAGCAGCAGCGATGGGTCAGTCGTGATGGCGACACAGGCTTTATAAGTGGGCCCACTTGTTCCAGTTGACCTCGTGGGGAAACACGCGGCCCAGCCGGAGGGTACAGTCCAGTGTGGGCTCGTAGAACACCACTGGGCTCTCACTCAGGCTGGAAGGCGCCTCTGCCTCTTCAACCACAGGCTTAGAGAAGAGGGAGACAGCATTGGGCTTTCTCAGCAGGCGCTTTTTAATGCAGCCAAGGAATTCCAGGCCCTGGAGATAGCACAAATACACAGGTTTGCAGATGCATTTATGGGACCTGTCCTCTGTCCTAGGAGCTGCTTCCCAGAACAGGGGATACCTGAACTTGGCCTTGAGAGATGAGTAGGGATTTACCAGGGGGGTTTAGGCAAAAGCCCACGGCAAGAGGACAGTGTGACCAGCATTTGCAGGGTGATACAGAGTCAAATGGGGGTCACAAATGCTTCCCATGGGCCAAAACTATCTTCCAGCTGGGGTTTTGTTTGGCCTGTACATGCTTTACAGTTAGGGAAGTTCCACACTGAACTTCAAGTTTCCAGGCCGGAGCCCCCAGGCACACATGGCCACAGGAACAGTCAGGCTGTGCTCTGGGACACAGCTGCCCTCAGGAGCCACGGGCACGTCTCCAGCTCTCCCTGCCACTCACAAGGACTCATCACACATTTACCAGCCTGTCCCTGTGGGCTTGTGGGCTCATAACCTCTGGTCTAGAGAAAGTGCCAGGGACAAGACAGCAGGAACACCTGTATTTAAGCCCAGAGAGCAGCATGGGGCTGGTGAAGGATGCCATGAGGGACAACCAGAGGCAGAAGCCCAGGGAAGGGGCTGAGGCTGCAGGCAGCTGAGAAAAGAGTGCTGAGAACTGGGGCTGGGCGCCAGCAGTGCTAAAGGGCAGAGGTCAGATGCAGGAGGGCAGAAAACAGGCACGGGACTCATAGGCCAGGCCTAACTCCCTCTGAGGGCTGTGGGCAGACCCTCTGTGAGGGCTGACAAGGGAGGTGAGGTGTAATAAGGCAGGCCCTGCATCAGAGGACTTCTGAGCAGCCTGTCTCTCTGTGTGGAGGCCTGTGGGCCAACCTGTGCATCTGTAGCTCCCTCATGGGCACAGCCTGTGTGCAGCAGCTATACCCCAGGATGCACCTAAGGCACCCGCCAACCCCAGCCCTCAGAGACTCAAGCCCAGGGCCCAAAAAGAGGGCCTGATGGGTGGGGAGCCGGGAAGACAGGGCTGAGCCACCCGAGCTCAGGCCCCTGCCCGCACCTGGAGCAGCTCGAGCACAGCAATAGGCTGCAGGACGCCCTGGTAGTGCTGCAGCAGGCAACTCTCAGGGACACCGGGCCTGGTCATGACGTGGTAAAGCACGGCCTCCATCATGCCCTTGCACACTGGCGTGTTCAGGTGGCCATCTACGATGCGCCAAGGGCGGCCGACGAAGCAGACGCTCTCACAGTCCCTGCAGGGGCGGGCAGATGGGCATCAGGCTGGGCAGGAAGTGGGGACAGCTGCCCCCACACAGCTCCCGCTCCACAGAGGGCACACTGTGGCTCAGGGAGGCCTAGCCCAGGTCAGCGGGCTGGGGACCATCTACCTTCTGCTCTTCCATCTTCCCCTTCCCTCCCAACCTGATGGAAGGGCCCCCATTCCAGGGCCCATGAGCATCAGCTGAGGGGAGCTGTGACATGGGGACCTGCTCAGACTAGGTGTGACCAAGGCCATGATAAGCCAACACCCCCCATTTCACCCCACACTGACACAGGAAGAAGAGATGTGACTTCTGGATTTACCAGCTCCATCTGGGACCCTTGGGCCAATGGCTACCTCCACTTTGGCTAAGCTCTCAGGTGTCTTTACGCAGAAGCTCCACTTCTGTGTCACATACAGTAGCCCCCCCCGCCCATAGGGGNCCCCCCCCGCCCATAGGGGGATACGTTCCAAGACCCCCAGTGGATGCCTGAATCCGTGGATGGTATCAAACTCTAAATATACTACATTTTTCCTATATACACATACCTATGATAAAGTTTAATTTATCAATTAGGCACAGTAAGAGACTAACAACAATTCAATCAAAAAGAACAACTGTGATAAATGCCGTGATACAGTTATGTGAATACTGACTCTGTCTCTCAGCGTATCTCATTTCACTGCACTCACCCTCCTTGTGGTGATGTGAGATGACAATGTAATGTGCCTAGTGACATCAGGGAGTGAGATGACTGACATGAATTGTGACATGGCGTTGGGCGACCCATGACCTGATGATCCACCAGAAGGAGGACCACCTGCTCCCAGACGGGGGCGGCTGTGGGTCACTGAAACCGCAGAGAGCAGAGCGGTAGATGAGGGGCACTGCTGGACAGGGGCTCCAGGCACGCTTCCCTTAGAACAAAGGCTCTGCTAAAAACTACACCAGTGACTGGTCTGCCACAGAGTGTCCAGGTGTGGCACAGGCCTTGGATGACCTGTACACTGGGCTCTCTGCCATGACAGCCCTGGGAGGGCTTTTCCCCAGCCGCGAGTGTAGGGGCCGCATCACACGGAAAGCAGTGCACAAACGCGGGAGGCGCCTCCACCCCAGAAAGGCTTCTGGGAGATGCACTCTTCCAAACGGAGGCAGGCACTGCGGAAGCCTAGCACTTCTGGAGCGCTGGCCTCATCCCCGCAGTGAGCAGACACCAGTCCCACCCATTCCCAGGTCCCCAGGCTGAAGCCCTGCGATGGAGGAGTGCCCAGTACTGCCTCTGTGGAAAGTCTTCATATGTAACCCACCCAGGACCCTGAGGACAGACCCGGCGCTTTCGCTGCCTCCAGCCCCGGGCCGCCTGGACCCAATCACACACTCACATTTCCCGCACTGCTTGGGAGAGGCTGCTGGCCACAGAACTGTCTGCAAAATCTGAGAGAGGACAAGCATGGGGTGAGACTTAAAAAGTGGGAGCCCATCTCTTCCTCCCACTCATGCAAAGTACTTCTGGGCCCTGGGGATAAAGTGGGCAACGAGGGATAGGAAGCCATTCCTCACAGAGCCCTGTCCTTGGGGCGCAGGCCCTGGAGGGCAAAGCCAGTACACACAGAGCAAAACTGCTGGCAGTGTGTGAGTGTGGGGCGCTTGTGCCCGGGGCCCCAGAGGAAGGCGAGACCTCTCTCATTTCTGCCCCTGCTTCCTTACATGGGATACTAGAGCAAACACTGCATTCTAGAACCATCTCTAGTTCCTGCACTTGTAATTCGCAGAGCTATTTAGGAGTTTCTGAGGCCCTCTAGTGGAAATACTAACTGTGAACAGGCAAGATCTTTTCCCTGTGAAAGCTGAGAGTATGAAAAGCTGAAGTACAGGACCCTCAGGTGGCTGATGGCAGATCCCAGTCTCAGAGAGGAAGGTGGGGGGCCAATCAGGCTGAAGGACAGACAATGGGGGACTGGGAACAAGGTTCAGTACCTCTGGGGTCTTCAGGGCCCTCCAGAAACTGGGCCTGACAGCTCAGCTGCTCTTGGCCTGGGGGACTGGGTACCCCAGCTTCCTCTTGGTCCTCCTGCCCAGCCTCTGATGCGCCTGGGAGAGACTCCCTGACACCTGCGTCTTCAGGAGCTGCCAGCAGAGCGGGCACCTGGGTTTCTGGCTCCTCTTCTGCTCTGGGCCTGGGGCTGGGGGCCAAGTGCACATCCTGGAGCGTGGGCCTTTTGGTGGGGGGCTTCTGGGTACTGTCAGGGTCAGTCTCCCCACCCTGACGGGCCACATCGGTGCTGGCCCAGCTAGCACGCCTCTTGGCACTCCGGGGGCCCTGAGATGGTGGTGCCTGCCTCTCAGAGGGGCCATCCTCACTGCACAGCCCCTCTGGGGTTCTGGCCTGGGGATCTTCCCTTGGAGTGTTGGCACCCTCCTCTCGGCCTTTCAGCTGCAGTGAGTGCAGAAGCCAGGGCTGGGCAGCGGCCACGGTCACCAGGCGAGCAGTGTTGCCACCCACTTCCAGTATCTGGTGTTGCTCCAGGAGGTCCTGAGGAGAAGTAGGAGACACACCGGGTCTGTGAGGGCACCAGGATCATCATGGCTTGCTCCCCCTGCCTGATGCTTTTAAGCATCCTGAGCAAGTGACAAGCACAGCTCCATCAGGAGAGATGGCCTGAGGATATGGCCTGGCTTCCAACCCTGGTGGGCCACCAGCTGGCGATGCTCTCTCCGAGCCTGGTAACATGTCAGATGCGCGAGCCTACTGGAATTGCAGCTGTATCTTGAAGCTGATGTGACTTTATAAGTCTCCTGCCTGGCCAGTGTCCTCCCACAGGACTCAGCACCCTGAATGCTATCAAATTCTTCTGCAAAAGCCATTATTTTCCCCACATGAATGACAATGACTTATATTTATACCATGCCCTGCTTCCAGTGTCCTTTTTTGTATGTAGGAGCTGCACCAACTCGGGGTGGGAAGTGGGGGTTCACCATCATTGTTCTCTTTACTTTTACATTAAAATCCCCATAAGTCAGGGTTCAAGGAACTTGTCCAGTCACAGCCTAGAGCCAGGACTTGGACCAGGTCATGCAGGTCTGGGGAGGGGTTGCTGTGGGCACTCGCTATGTGGGGTCCTGGGCTGGGCACCAAGGAACAGAGGGAGCTGCCTGGCCTGTTGCTGCTCTATAGTCAATGGGATCTGCCACCTGGGCTCAGTCACCAGGGGCACTGGGACGACTGCATCCCTCTGAGGCTTGGCTCACCTCCCAGGGCTGCAGAGGCACCAAGAGTTTCATGCTCAAACACCATGAGAACAGTAGGCATCACCCTCCTTTATTTCCTGCACTCATAAGAACTCATTTGATGACAGCCAACACTGGCTTCCATCCTCCTCCCCAGCAAACACTCAAGGCAGGTGTCTCTACATTGCTAACAACAGACACACATCTGCCACCTTTACTACTGAGGATGTGCAGAGGGCAAGCCAGGCACCAGGACACTTAATTTTAAGGGACTACACTCTCTAGGTTCATGGGTCACTGATGAAAATGGGCCCTGACATTTCAGGTTAAGTCGTGAGTACTGTGGGCCATCTGGGACACTGGGAGGCGTGGGTACAGTGGACAGCTGGGGAGAAGCAGACCCAGCTGGGGGGGTGGGCAGCCCTACTTGGCTTGTCAACTGTGCTGAAGAATCACAGCCCAGTGCGTGCCAGCCCTTCTAATCTTCAGAAGGAGCTGGCAACATTCCTCTTTTTAATGTTAACAACTAATTTAATTTTTGAAAAAATTCTATTATATGCTCAACCAAGTGCATGCAGTTTGCTTCTGGCTGGAAGCTGCAGCTACCCCAGGCTACCTGCACACAGCTCACCTGGACATAATCTGTGAAGGTCCGGGTGCGCTTGCCGTCTGTCTTCTCAAAGGCAGAGAACCGTCTGCTCAGCTCCACCCTGTCCACCCCAAAGCACCCGGCAGCTGAAATGGCCCCCTGGACCTCCAAGGCGGCAGACACATCTCCAGGTGTATACCCAGACAGCTTCCCCTGCCGGACAAACTCTTCCAGGCTGCACGCATCCTGGCTGTGTATCAGCCTGGTGAAAGTGCCCGGGAGGCAGGAGATGCCCACTGCCAGCTCTTCCAGCGAGGTGGCTGCGAGGAAGAGGACCAGAGTCAGCCCTGACAGGAGGCCCGGCCCCGCCCCAGTGCACAGGGGATGCTGAGGCAGGTCTAACACCAGTGCCCTCTCCAAGCAGCACGGGGCCACCTCTGGGGTAGGCACAGGTGGGCCCCTGGCACTCAGGTGCCCCTGGGCCCTTTAAGGCAGCCAAAAGGGCGGGATTCCCCCAGGGCCCAATGATTCCCCTGCTCAGCACTCAAACCCAAGAGCAGAAAGGTGCGGCTACAGCCCGAGGACTGTAGCCCCAGAGCTCATGTGTTCACTGCCCCCAGGCGCTGAGGGCTTCCCGGGACCTTCCACACATTCCTGCTTCTGCTCCACTGTCCAGGGCTGCTTTCTGCTCCTTCATGTAAAGGGCGGCTCTGCTAAGACCACAGTCTATCACATTTTTGTCACTACATTTTCTCCTAGGGCCATGCTCCTGATACAGCACAGAGAACTACTAACAGTGGTTACAAAACCAAAAGTAAACACCATCCACCTCAACAGATGAAAATAAAGGTGAAGTCGGACAGAGACAGATTGGGGTGGGTAGGAGGAGAAGTATAGGGAAGGAAGGGAAGGCGCCCTCATATGCTCATTTTATGTAGAGGGGAGACACTACCTAAAATTCAGGTGCGAGAAATGGAGGCTTATATAGGCAATGAAGCATCCCCAAGTTAATCAAGAGAAGAGCTTAAAAAGTACAAAAACTGAAGTAAAGGGGGTGAGAGATAATGAAAAGAGGCTAAAAGGAAGCTCAACTTTCATAGCAAAAGGCCAAAAGACAATACCTAAAACTTTCAATGGAAGCGCAAAATTTAGTTTTGGAGGGAACCAGAAACAGTGAAAAGGCTGCCAGAGAGGAGGGCGTGCAGCTGCTGCTGCTGCTTATGCGCCCGTGCGCCTGACTGCTACCTTGGCATGTGGGATAAAAGGAAAAGGGATGCAGCCTGCTCTAACACTGCGTGTGAGCACAGCTCGGGGGCCTCGGGGGGCTGCCGAAGATGGGAGGGGCACTCCTTTCACTTTCAACCAGTCAGCTCTGGCTTCTGCACTTGGCCCTCAGCGCCTGAGGACAGCATCCCGGGCTGGGCCACTCACCAGTGGGCCCCAGCTGGGTGGGCGTGGGGCAGCAGCGGAGCCGGAACCTGACCTGGCAGGAGTTGACCACAATGCTGTCGTTGGGGTTGAGGTTGCGGGTGCTGACGATGCCAGGGGCACAGTAGCCCCTCATCAGCAGGTAGTTGGTGTGGGAGGCCTGGCGGGCTTTCACCTCAATGCTCCGCCGCTTGCCCCCCGAGCCTTCGTCCAAGTCTTCCTCTTCATCCTCGTCCTCTTCCAAGCCCCCATCCTTCCCCAGGCTAGGAGAAGAAAACAGGCCTAGATGGCCAAGCTCGTCTGCCGGCCCAGCCACCCCTTCCAGGGCACACCGTCTCCCTCAGGCAGCGCCCTGTGACCCCAGCCTCTACAGTCACTCCAGACACCTCCTGCTCGGCACTTGGCTCTGCAGGTCAGCCAGCATGACCTGCAGCTCCAGATTCACCTCCTTCATCCACCATGCGCTCACCCCTGTTCACATACCTGTGTCTTAACAAGGGCTGTTCCTTCTGCTTAGAAACCCTTCCTAGTCTCTATCCAAAAAATGCCTAGTTTTCCATTAAATCCCAGTTTGGCTATTATGCCCTCAAGGAATCTTTGCCAATCCCACCTTCTCTGCTTTCCCCCTTGCCACACTGTACTGGGCACTTCTCTGGCACAGCCAAGTCACTCCCTCCTCTGGCTCCACCAGGCCCAAGGGAGCAGCAGAAGGCACTGGACTGGACATTATACTGGAATCCCTCGTTCACAGGCCTGTGCGGTCCTGTCACCAGGAGTTCCCTCAAGGCTCTGGCTATGCCCTGCTGTCCTTGTACAGCAAACGCCCACACAGGGCTACACATAATGCAGAGAAGCTCAGCACGTGTTTGCTGAATGAATAAAGACCAGATGACTGAGCAAATAAATTGCAGATGCAAGGGCCACGAGAAGACATGACGATACCTAACCCCTAACTGTGCTCACAGCAGTGCGTGGTGCCCAGCAGCTGGGCTGCTGACCCCTCAGTTCTTACCTCTTAATGACCTCATTCTCCACCATTGAACTGTCCACCACTACAATCTGCTCTGGGATCCTGACATCCACAGAAATGAGGCCCAAAGAGAAAAGGGTCAGGGCAGCCACACAGTGTCCTCCAGGGCCATCCAAAGAAAATGCCACCAGGTCACTTGGGGAGTTGTTGTTATCCTGGTCTTTGAAGGAAAAATTATCAGGCTGGTCAGCCTTGCCAGCAGCCCGGATTCTGTCAAAGAACTGGAATGATTCTGTGCAGATGGTGCTGGGAAATCGCCATGTAAAAATCCTAAAAGAAGGTAAGGGTAAAAAGAAGGTAAGGGCCACAGTGAGAACAGGATGTTGGAGACCTTCATGTGAATGGGCTACTGGCACTTCAAATCTTTAGTCAAAGCGCAACACACCAGCTTCTCCCCAGAAATCTGTTCCATCCCTAATGAAAGCACTGCATTGAAATCTGCATGTGTATCCTCCCCACTCCCCTGTGCACCTTCAAGGTAGGGCTGGGTCTTTCCATCTAACCCAGTACTCCCTGCCTCATGGGCGTTCCCTCTGCAGGCATACCTCGCTTTACTGTGCTTTGCCTTACTGCGTTTCACAGATTCGGCATTTTTTACAAATTGAAGGTTGGTGGCAACCCTGTGATGGGCACGTCTGTCGGTGCCATTCCTCCAAACGTGTTTGCCCACTTCATGTCTCTGTGTCACGTTTTAATAATTCTCCTGATATTTCCAACTTATTCATTTTATTATGTTTATTATGGTGATCTGTGATCAGTGATTATGACTCACTGAAAGCTTAGAGGCTAGCGCTGTTTAGCAATAAATTATTTTTTAATTAAGGTATATACATTGTTATTTTAGGCATGATGCTATTTCACACTTAGTAAACCTATCTTTTACATGCACGTACTAGGAAACCAGAAAGTTCACCTGAGTGGCTTTACTGTCATATCTGCTTCCCTGTGGTGGGCTGGAACCAAACCTGCAGCATCTATGGTGTGCCTGTAAACTGACGCTAAACTGGGGGAGATGAATGTGCTGTCTGTTCCAATAACTGTTACATGAGCACTGAACCCTTACAGAGATGAGGGGACATGGGTGTGATCTATCTCACTGTCTCCACAAAGTGACTGCAGAGTTAAGTCGTGGTCAAAAGTATGACTCCCCATGACTCTGTGACAACAGAGAGAAGGTCCTTGGCAGTTGGAGGGTCCTAGTAGGTCTTGCTGATCTGCTGACCACTGCCCCTCAGCTGACAAATGAGGATGATGGCTCAAGGGCAAATGGCCTGACTGCACTTGGCCCTACACCCCCTGCTTCCCAGGCCACAGCTTTTTTATTTTATTACAAAAGGCCACTTCCCAGAAAGATGAAGGAGACTGAGGGTTGCTCGGTCTTTAGGAAAGGAGCAAGTGTCTGGAGTCACCAGCAAAGGGATGGATAAAAGAAATAAACAAACCACCCCTACACTTGTCTTTCTGTGAACACAGCCTCAGCATAGATCCAAGGACCAACAAGAGCCTGCAGAGGGGAAAGCCAGCCGAGGCAAAGGGCTGCCAGGGAGAAACCCCTGGGAATATTTTAGCAGACTTCCTCTGCATGTGGTTCGGAGGCTGCGAGCACACAGTGCCAAGCATGTAACGGAGACCAGCCATGCCTGCTGCTGCCCTGAGGCCTGGCTGTGGGGAGCGCTCCTTCAGGAAAGGCTCTGGAGGTGACTCTCAACACCAAACCACCACTCCATTGTGGGTGTACCACAAAGTGAGTCTAAAATACTGGTGACAGCTTCAAAATGAGGTGTATGAGCCTCCAAGACCGGTGGCTGGGTGCAGCTCTAAGCCGTAAGGATTAAGGACTGAGGGTATGCCTACCCAGGAGGGTGTCCTTTCAGCCCATTTCATTATTAAATTAGAAACTTATTTCACCCAATTTGATATGACAAAAGGAAACAAACTACCTGCAGAAATGGTAAGTGATGCAACACAAAATACTATGAGCATTAACCTTATTTCCATACAAGGAAGGACAGGCGTTGATGAGGAACCTTGTTCCCAAAAGCTGCTCCTTGCATATGCAGGTCTCTGATGAAGTCGGGTGACCTGTTAACTTCCACTCCCCTGTGCTACTCTGTGCAGAGATGGTGTGGCTCAGCCTCTGACCTGGGGTCCCACCTTTCCCCAGCCCAGGCTGAGGGCTCCTGAGCGGGTGCTCACCTGTAGTAGGTCTGGGACAACTGGTAGGACATTGGCACGAAGGGCAAAGCCCGGTTTTTCTTAGGGCCCAGAGTGTGGTTGACCCGGCGCCGGTTGACCAAGCTCCTTTTCTGGCACTCCATGAAGGCCTTCACAAGAACCTGGTCCTTGTACTCTCGGTATAGGCGGAAAGTCTGCAACACAGCACTTGTGGTTAGCAAGGCTCTTTAGCCAGCAGAGGGGTCAGAGTCAGAATGTGGGGATGCACAGAAGCTACAGCTGGTCATCTATGGAGGAAGTAACAAACATGGGGACAAGGGGCCGGGAGGTCAGAGTGGATACCTGGGGGCAAGGTGGGGGACAGCCTGGAGGAAGCCAGCAGCCTTCACCCCCACCCTGTTACACCTCAGAAACCATAAAGGGAGACAGGCAACTGGAGAGAAAGGAAGGTTCTGTGCCCATGCCTATTTCTGCAGACGCAAAGACGCTGGGAGTCAGTGCAGAACCCTCTCTGACACCACTCTTTCTCTTACCCCTCGCCCAACCCCTCAGTACATCTGGTTGGCTCTACCTCTAAATACGTTCCCAAACACACCTGGTGCATGCTGTCTATACTGCCACAATCTAGTCCACACCACTGCTTCTCACCATAGCTTCCAGCTAACTCTTCTCCCTGCTTCTATACATGTTACCTGCCCCCAAATGCTGTTTGCCAAAGCAGTCAAAGTAATCCTTTTGTGCCTCAATCAGACCACATGTTCCTTTCCTACCTCAAAACCCCAATAGCTTCTCTCTGCAGGTAGGACAGTCAGTCCTTTCTATGCTTGACACGAACCCTGTGAGCAGGACCCTGCCTACCACCTGGCCTTACCTCCTATACCTCCACCTCTTGCTCACCACCCTTCAGCCTCACTGGACTTCTTCCTCTTCTTGAAAAAGCCACAGCACTCCCACCTTGGGTCTTCTGCATCTGCAACTCCCATTTCTTGGGAGGCACTTGCCACAAATCTCTGCACAGCTGACACCTTCTCAACATTAGCTCTTAACTCAAATATTTGCCCTGAAAAACTAGCTCCTTCTCCACCTTGCTCCTCTGCAGTCAATTGTATTAAAGTGTTTTATTTTCTCTGTTTCGACTATCTACCTGAAATGACCTCACTCATTTATTCACTGTCTCTCCCACCAGAATAGAAGCCCAACAAGAACACAGATGCAACTCTCTGACTGCTGCCTCGGCAGCTCCTGGCTCCCAGCGTGGAGCAAGCACAGGAGGTGATGTCTGGGCCCCCATCAGAGGCTTCTGCCCGCCACACCATCATGGCTCCATGGCTCACGGATATGGACTCTGCCCAGAGGAAGAGCAGCTCAGAAGAGGACTGCAGGGCTAGCAGGGCCTCTGTTCCTCCAGTTTTCTGAAAAACACTGGCTCAGCCAATTGACAGCAAACACTTAGAATACACTAACCTCCAGGGAAGTTCCCACTAGACCGTCTCCTCAAAAGCACTGGCCAAGAAAAACTGTGGTCTAAGAATTTCAGGTTTGGAAGATTCTTTGCTATAGTGGCTCCCAGGCCCACAAGTGACAGAGGAGACTGAGGCCCATGGACCTACAGGTGACCTTCTGAGGCCACACTGGTAGGCAGGTGTGGGAGCAAGAAGAGAACAAGGCCTTGTCCTCAAATCCAGTGGCCGCTACACCACTGTAGAGGGATGGGGATCAGGAGCCAAAGTGTGGTCAGTCGAGGTGCTGGGGCAGCATGGGGGAGGTCTCCCAGAGCTGGAGCGTGGGGTCTGGACACACACTGGGTCTTGTCATTCTGAGGCCTGCACACCATCCCTGATTTCTCTAAGCAGCACTTCTACATCTGTGCTGGGAGCAGAGATCACCAGGCTGATGGGGAGACACTGCACGGGGCAGAGGGAAAGAAGCCGGGTGGCTGTTATGTCATATGCCTTCTCCCAAGGAGACATGGAAGCTGGAATCCGGCTTCTTGTGAGAAACCTTCTGTGACTTTGCTTTTTCCTGTTTGAATGGATGGGCATATTCCCCACACCTACTGGCTAGAGTGGACTGGGGCAGAAGCACCCAGCCCTGTACCACAAGTGGGGGAGCAGGGACAGATTTGGGCTGTCACAGACAGAGTCCACCACAGCCACCTGGGCTGCTCAGGACTTCCAGCCCCACTTCCCTGCAGGGCACTTCCCAGACACTTGGGGCTGCAGGGATGCCTGGTGGGATCCTCTGTGGCCTCTGGCCTCATCCCTAATGGCCTTGGTCCTCACGGCTGGGTGGAAGGGAGTCACTAAGAAGCACCCGTTCCCTGCTGTAGCCAAGTTGCTCTTCCTAGCACAATTTCCACATCCCTGGGAAGGCCAGGGGCAGTGACTAGCCCTTCAGCACCATCCCACCCCTGAAAATGGAACTGGAGGAAGGAAATTTGGCAGTATGAAGCAGGGACAAGCCCTGCCTCGGCAAGGGCCCCAGCTATTGCCATTAATGCTGGGACTGGGTTTTCCTGTGAGTCATGTGGCTAGACTGATACCTGAGGTCCTGTCCAGCCCTAACCCCTGCTGGCAGGGGAGCTGAAGGATCCATTCCATGGCCACAGGCAGTGTTGGAAATGGGGAATTTTATGTACCATGTTGGCAATAAATTTGAAATTTTTCTTTTTAAACAAATATGGGCCCAACAAAATAACCTGGAGGCCAGACTGGGGGCAGTCTAGCTGGGGCTTCTGCCCCACTCCAACCTGCTCCACTCTTGTTCTCTGTATTTTCTTGCTCAGACAAGGCTTCACCCTCTTCATCTGCAAACACTGGGGTGGCAGTGGGGGCGTGACAGCACTACCAGCCTCCCACACTGAGATGCACATGTTTCCTGCAGTAAGCAGGCTTAGAGTATGATGTGGCACCAAGTGTGGCAAGAGTGGGGTGCCTGGGGCCTCTCCACCTGGGTGGTCCCAGATGTCACTGTGGGAAGCACATGCACCTCAAGGTGATAAATTAAAACAAGAGAGATGGAATTAGCACACTCAGTCTTGGGTTTCAGAGGCCTGGCCATTGCTGTAAAAGGACTCATGCTAGGGTGGTACTCTGTGAAGCACTGGTCAAACATGGTCACATATTTTCCTCAAATAGCTCCATCTTAGCCAGCCCTTCTGCCCGCCCTTAGGCCAAGTAACAGGCACTGCCTGGGACACCCCTGCAATGCCCAAGCTGGGTCTGTGCCAGTGTGTCCCCATGGTGCTCCATGGAGCCGGCAGCACACTGTGTCAGGGACCCACCCCCTCTACTCCTAACTGCCATCTATGGGGGCAGCACCTGGGGGCCTGTGTACTGAAAGAGCTCTCCAGTGGACTCTAAGGCACCCAGGGTTTGGGTCACCGTCTAAATTCACCAGTGGGATTAGAAATCATACCAGCCCTTTGTTTTCTTATTTTCTTTGTTCATGTTCCAAACTGGGCTGATTTGGTAATGTAAGCCAGAGGAGCTGAGTTTTAGGTTTAGAGATTAAATACAGAAAGTAAATAGTTTCTACTTGGAATACACTTGTGTGATCATTAAAAACAAGGGAAGCCCTAGCTCGGGCTCTTAGGATCTCTCTGTTGGAGCTTGGAGCCAACACTCAGGTTTGATGATGGGCTATGTGACCTTGGGCACATGCTTTCTACCTTCTCTGAAACTCAAGTTTCCATACTTGTAAAAGGGTGCACTCCGACCACCTTGCCAGGCTCAGCATGGGGCTTAGTGAGACCTGCCTTCCTGTCTGTCATCCTCGCTCAGCCCAGTCAAGCATCACTACGTTCCAGTAAGCACTCAGGCGACACACGAGACCTGCTGTGAGCTGCAGCGAGGTCTCCAACACTCACCTGAAATGACTGGCAGGACTTCATCTGACTGTCTGAGAGGGCCAGTGTGCTCTGGATCAGGTTCTGGAGCACCAGAAAGTGGATGTCATCCACACTGAAAGAAAGGAGGACAGCAGAGTACATGTGGCTGTGGGCCATAGGCACTGCCCATCCTGGGCTGGATTTGGTTCTCATTAAAAGAAAGTTCTCAATCTCATAAAAGTGACATGAACACCAAGACTAATCATAACCAAGACAAACAATGGTTTTTAAGCCTTACTAACTGGTTGGTTTTGCAGGAAACATGTTTCAGCCTGGTAGGTAAGCGTTAACATAACCTGGAAATGGGTTCACATGACAACTAACAAATAAAGTTAGTGCTTGTGTTTTCTTTCCATTCAATTTCAAACAAGTTTTTCTCCAAAGAGAATAGCCTTCTCAAGAGATACAAAGCTAAAATCAAACTGAATATCAGTTATCCAAGATGGAAAGAAAAAAGCTAAACTTTTTATCAGAGTTTTACTTCGAAAGCTCATGGGCTGACACTTCAAACCCTTTCCCCAACCCATCTCAAGTCAAGGCCAATATGTGAGGTCAGGGGCCAGCTAACTTCCTGTAAAGGGCCAGATAATAAATACTTTGGTCTTCATGGGCTATATGGTCTCTGTGCAATCACTCAGCTCTGATGTTATAGCATGAGAGCTGGTTAGGCAATGCAGAGAATGGGCATGGCTGTGTTCCATTAAAATTTCATTCCCCAAAACAGGTGGCAGGCTCTATTTGGTCTTGATGACCCCTGTGCTGGGTGCTGGGCTGTAGGCAACCCAATCAAGCAGCTGAGGAAAAGGCACTTATTATTTCAGTACTTACCTGTTAAGTTCATCCTCTTTCCTGATTTGATCTTTTTCATCTCCAATTGCCAGAACTCGGTATCTGTGTAAGAAGCAAAGAGCCTATCATTGGAACAAACACAGCAGGACTTCACTAACCGAGCAGATACTTGCTCAGGATGGCCATTTGGTGGCTAAAATGTTGGGGAAAATATTAAACTCATTAAAATTCAAACATACATGTAAATTAAAATGAGAAAATATGTTTTGTCCATCAGATGAGCATGTTGTAAAAATGAGAGCTGAGAAAATGAGGACTGTTCATTTACTGACAGTTACATAGCAACATGGGAACATGAACTGGCAAAGAGCTAATGCTAAGGGAGGAGGGTATGAAACTGTGGGCTCATTATGATTAAAAACAAACCTAAGAAAGAAGAGTGGAAGAAAATACTCCAAGAAGGAATAGCTGTTTTAGGTGCTGGAATTACATATTATTTCCCTGTCTATTTTTAAAGCTTCATGTAACATTATTTTATTGTTTTCATATCAAGCAATTTAACATAAAAACAAACCAAAGAACTCACTTTTTGAAAAACATGGTCATTTACTTGTAAGTCATTTCTTTGGTTTCTACAAAACTAAAGTCAAAATTCATCTATGCAATAGTAAATTCTTTCAAAAATTTAGTAGTGAGAAAAAGTACCTTTTCAGGAAAACATGTGAACATCAAGCAAGGAGATATTTGGAAGCTATTTTCTTTTTGGCCTGGCCTGCCAGACAGCTAATCAAATTTTACATTGAATTGCTACAACTCGAACTTTTTCCTTCCCCTAGATAGTTTGTGAACTCTCATTTAACAGTTTTTAACTGTCTTCTTTATAACTCAAAGTTGTCCCATAAATTTACTGAAAATATGTGGGGATATAGATTACAGATAGGTAAACAGGCCATTTGAAACATCTTTAAAACTGAGCACAAACTATGCCATTTGGAAGTTCTGGGAACATTCTGCTGCAAAAACAAAACCAAAATACAGAAAATAGCTAGTGTCTACTCTGAAAATGACACCAGTAACTCCCCAGGCCTAGAGAAGAATGAGAGTGCCGCCTGCACTACAAGGCTGCCCGCAGAGGCACCGTGCAGCTCCCAGGCAGGAACCGACTGATGGGCATCTTCTCCATGGTAAGGAAATCGCAGATACAGTGACTGGAGGGACGGTCTGGTCAGGATGGTGAAGAGAAGGGGCTCACATCTGGATTCAGCGGTGGAAACAGGCCTGGTTCACAGAACTCAAGATTTAAAAATTTCACAGGTTCTGTGCTCAGACCCAAGGATGTTCTTCTCCAGACACCCAGCGGCTAAGTTAGGAAAAGGGCGGGAACTCTGGAGTCAGGCCACCCGAGTTCAAATCCCGGCCCTCTGCTTCACAAGTACTGTGACCTTGCGACCTTGGGCAAGTTACTTATATCTGTTTCCTCATATGTGAACAACCTCAGCAAAAGCAGCCACCACCTGAGAAAGCCTGAATTCAGTCAGCAGCAGGGCCTCCACAGGAGAACAAAACCGAGTGCCTGATGGGTCTGAGGGTGGCAGCAGCCCCCCGGTTTTTGTCTCCCGTGAGAGGAGGCAAGGGGGTCCCGGCAGGAAAGCAGGATTAGCTGCAAGGCCAAGTGGAACTGCTCACCAGGCAGATGCCTGTGGCAGTCCTGGACTGTGATTTCTTCCCCTTACCTCACGAGGATCACACAGAACCTTCCCAGAACCTCACCTGGCAAAGAGCTCCTGGAGAGTGTCTGGTATTTCAAGGTTAGGGTTCTTTAGGGCTGAACTGAACTTCTCTTTAAGCTTCTCCACAAATTCTTTAAACTCGTTGGCACAAACCTTTCAACAGGAGAGAATGAGACATTAAGCCCTTCTCTCTCTAAAGGGAGGTTCTGCTAAGAATCAAGGAAGATCTGTAACCAACTCCCATGCAGTGACCTCCCAGAAATGGTGACTGAGTAGGGCCTCCTCTGCCTCCTGCCTCCATGGCCCACTGAGCCCACCTGGGAAGGTGACAGATGCTCACCACCATGCTCTGGATTTGGAGCACCCAGTGCCACTGAGCATGCTGACACCCTCACTCCTGCCGCATCCCCAGTTCTCTCCCTCAAGGCCCAGCAGAAAGACCCAACCAGGTCCTGCACTGTCCCTCAAGCCCACAGAGTGCCTCCACCATCAGCAGGCCTGTGCCCCCTCATCACCACCCTCCTGCTGCTCTGTGTGCCTCAGTCTCCTTTCTCCTCTCCCACGCTCATCAATGGACCCCAAATCGGTCCCCTCCTCTATACCTGAACTGCTACTATCCCAGTCCAGACCCAGTCACAGCACAGTCTGCTCACTGCTTTACTCCCTCCAGTGTCATACCTTCATCCACCACAGGATGAATTACCCTTTCCTGAGGTACCTCACTGCTGATCCCACGGGGCCTGCCTTTGCCTGGCTGGCCGGCTCTCTGGAGCCCGGTTCTGTGCTGGCACCTCTAGAAGCCTCTGCAGTAGGTGCCGCTGGCAGCCCACTCCTGTCTCCTATTCTTTCCAAGGAGTGGAGCCAGCCTGCCTTGGTTTAGGGAGGTAGCCTGCCCGGCACCCCTGTGAATCAGGCTGGATCTAAGCCAATGACAGCAACCTCGGGGGCTTCTGGGAAAAGCCCCTTCCCTGATACGAGGGCCCAGTGCAGCCCTTCTCTCCACTTCTTCCTGTCCTGGGATCCTGGTGTGAGCACTGAACTCCAGCAGATAAGTGGCAACCATGAGGGAACCAGCATCAGGATGGACCACTAGGGCCTGGGAGTAAAGTGACAGAATGTGCCTGGGCCTTGGTGACATCTCTGCTTTGATAGGACTGCCTATCTCCGGTTACCTAGCATATGGGAACAGCAAAGCCTCTGTCTCTTACATGGAAAGCCCTGCTGATGCTCCTCAGCCTCGGCAGGTATGCTCTCCTCTCTCAGGGTGACTGCATAGTTCTGTGGTGCCCATTTACTGCTCTGCCTGCCCACTGCCCTGTGGCTCCCAGAGGAGGGCTGGGTCTCCATTTGACTGGCCTCGCCTGGTGCAAGGCCTGACACATAGGCAGTAAAGTCCAGCATTAGTGCAACAAGCGAGGGATGAGCAGATTCTGAGCTGCAGCAGAGTCTAGGTCTGGGGTGACAGCTTCCTTCCTTGTCAGTCACCGTCCCAGCCCCACCCACAGAAAACTCAAAGAGAATTCGTACCCCATTCACAAGCTTAGGAAGCCTCACTCTTTCTAATTTCTGAAGAGCTGCCCTATTTTCTTGACAGAACAGGCCCAAGACATAGCAGCCGTGCAAAGTGGCACATCAAATCCTAATCGTCTTTAGCCCTGATGTTGGAGCATATGAAAGGGGGTTCAAAGCCAAAGAACTGAAAAGTTGATTCCCAAATGAGGAGGAAAAAAGTCCACCTTTATAAGGCTGGCAGAGGCCCTGTGGCACCCAGACCAGAGCCTAGAAACTCCTGTCAGGGCAAGCTGTGCTCAAAAAGGCACGGGGCCTACCTTTGGGTCTTCATAGTCACATTTCCGATGCATGAAATCTCCAACAAGTGCCTTATCTTGGTAGACTTCAGCTAGGCAAACCCTGCAGAAAGAGAAGACAAAAATGAAGCCTGGAACTATAATGTCTACACGTAGAACCATTAGGTTTCTGTTCTACCATTTCTGGCCTTGGCTAACCATGAAGTGCAATTTATTTATATACATTTTGGGTGGTTACTACTTTTAAAAACGAGGGATTTGGGTTCAGCCAAACCTGATTCAAGTCTGGCCAGTTATTGCTCACACTTTACACCTTAGCTTAAGCTCCTGTCTGCCACATGTAAACTGAGGACTAACCCCCACCTGCCTGCCCCTCACAGGGTTTTGGGCAGGGCCAGATGAGATGGTCTATGTGAAAGTATATTGTAAATTTCAAAATATTATATAGGCACTATTAAGAGCTCTAATCTGCTCCAAATCCCTGATCATCCACCTAACAAATGTTCATCTCTCGGGGCCAAAAGGAAGGCTTGACTTGCCCAAAAGGAAACAGAGGGAAAGACAACCAGTGTTTGCTCGGTTCCTATAAGCCAGGCACTTCAACCTTTGTAAATGGCTCACAAGGTAGAGATGGTCATTCAATTTTATGGCTCACAGAGGTGAAGGCGCCCCTACAGTCACACACAGGCCAAGGGCCAGGGCCCCTGGGGCAGGTATGGTTACTGCTGGTATCATCATGTTCACAAGTAGAGAAAGAGCCTCCAAGTGGAAAAATGTCCTGTCCCAGGTCCCACGGCTCTGAGCTGCAAGGAGCCCACTAAGCCTGCAGCCCCTCATGTTCCCTTCCATAGGCTGCAACGAGGCAAAGAGGAAGGGTGCCGGGCAGGGGCCAGGAAGCCCAAGTTCCAGATCTCACTTCGCTGCCAGCTCACTGTCACCCTGGCTAACATGCATCCTCTCGCTGGGCCTGTTTCTACTCTGAAGAAAAGAGTTTGGACCAGGTGATCAGAGCTCTTTCAGATAGAAAAGTCTAAGATTCTATGCACAGGGGCAAATGGCTTTACACAGGAAAGGGCTCTTGGTTTGTCAACCCACTGATTCTCAATAGGGGCGATTTGGCCCCATGAGGACATCCAGAGACATTTTTAGTTGTCACGTGGTGGGGGGTGGTGTGCTACTGGCATCTACTGCATAAGAGGCCAGGGAAGCTGCTAAACATCCTAAAGCCCCAAACAAAGAATTATCTGGCCTTAAATGTCTGTAGCACAGAGGATGAGAAGCCCTGACTAGAGTTGCACTTCCTCCACAGTCCAGAGCAGGGCTCATTTCTCTCCACAGTCGGGCTGACTGCAGGCAGCCCATGGCTCAGAATCAACCCAAAGCCAACCTCTCCTGCTGACCCATGGCCCGAGTAACCGGTTGGTAGAAGCGGCTCTTCCCAGCCCTGCTACAGGTCTCCACCTGGCCCCACTCCTGTGCTGGCTACAGCACCCGGACATCTCCCGCACCACTGGGTGTGCCCAGTCTCCCCACTCAAGCCCCTTCCTGAGGAGGGAGTTGAAGGAGGAGCCTGATGAGGCAAGTGATGGCTTTATGCCAGGGCCCTGCGAGGAGGAGATGAGGGGGAGCTGCACTGACGACAGCCACCCACACAGAGGAATCTGTGGGGCTCCCAGCCTGCTGCCACCCCTACACATACCAGGCCACAGAGGCAACACTGATGGAACATGTGACTCTGCTGAGAAACTGGCTGGGCACATTTGGTGAAGGATGCCTGGTCTTGTCTAGCTTCTTTCTGGAGGGAGCTACATGCTGGGTCACCAGTGCAGAAACATCAACAGCTGCCCTGGAGTGCTAAAAACAGTAGTGAAACTCAGCACAGGCCCCTGCTCTCACACATGCTGCTGATGTTATTTAGTCTCCATTTCTTCATTAGAAAGAATAACAGCTACTTCACAAGGCTGTCCTGAAGTCTGAATAACACCTTACATATGAAAGTGCCCAGAATCATACCCAGCTCTCAAAACACCCAAGGTGACCTCACTAACAAGCTCCAGCAGCTGGACAGAGTATTGTTGTGCTAGCGGACAACTCAGGAGCTCTATCTGGACTTTTCACCAGACTCTTAAGCAAATGGGATGGAAGAATAAAGAATGAACACAAAGCCTTGGAATACTCTAGTCCTGGAGATACGAAAGGTCAAACAAGGCTTACTTATAGTTCAGATAGGCTTGTGGATTTTTGACTATGTAGCGAGCTCTTCGTCCAACTGAATGAGATGTTTTATCCAAAGACTCTTCAAATGTAGCGTGCAAAATGTCCCGCACAACCTGCCAGGGGACAAATGGGCCCTTCACCTGGATCAAACACAAGGCAAGACAGAAAATCAGTATCATCAGAGCCCATGCTATGGGTCATTAGCATAAAGGATGGAGTTGGGGTGAGGGGGTGGTAAGTTCTGTGCTGCCTCTTTGCTCTGTGGTCTGTCACCTAACACATTTACTCAGTCATATTTACTGGGCACTGAGCGAGGTGCTTGGCAGAGATGACAACAAATCCTCAATGCCTAGTGGAAAAAGGATGTCTTTTGGCAAGTGATAGAGAGGCTTGGAGGGTGTTGAGTAATACTGTCTGGAAGGTAGTATGTTGTAGGGGAGGTTATGAGGACATAAATATGTTAGACGGTTTAAAGGTTCAAGGACACATGTATGCTCAGGAGCATTCTGTGTGTTAGGCTTGTATGTTGCATTAAGGGACAGAGAACACACCGGATTAGCAGATCAGGAGGCCGTCTTAGTCAGTACAGGCAGGAGGGCAGAGCCGAGATAAGGAAGGGACTTGATGACAAGGTTATTTCCTTTGGGCCTCCAGGGATGTGGCGAAGTGCCACCAAGTGGGCTGAAAGCCCACCAACCTGGAATGTGCAGGCCTCTCCTGCCCCATCAGCTGCACTGAGCACCAGAGTTGCGATGCAAAAGTCACTGCAGAAGCAAAAGCACTATTAGGGGCAGCAACACGAGTCCCCCTTGGAGGGGAACTGGGTTGGAAATTAGGAGGCAACTAAGGGAAAACTGGGAAAACTGGGAAAACTGGTCAAGAAAAGGGATCTGAGTCTGCAGGCAAAGAGCATTCTGGGCACAGGACCTGTTGGCTGGCATGGTTGAGAGCAGGATGCATGAATGGGGCTCGTGCCCTGGTGGTCTTACTGTCCGGAAGGGGCCCTGGACTAGATGATGGCAGAGCTCATCTGCTGGCTTCTGTGAGCCAGCTTGAGTGGGCATCTGCCCTGGACCGCTCTCCGCATGCCTGTTGCAAACTCAGAAGATCAGAACAGTACAAATTGGGCAGAACTGACAGACTAGGAGTCAGTGTGGCTGTTCTAGGGAATGTGGGGGAGTATGAACTCTGCCTCAGGCTATGGAACCTTCCAGGAGGCAGTGATATCAGAGGAAAGAGGAAGAGTTTGCTTAACAGCAAGCAAGTATCTCCCCACTTGCCAGGGATTCAGGGACACAGGCCAGGAGGCCATGCAAGTGTGGGGAACTGTGACACGGAAGGTTGGGAGTGAACCACAGGGTAGGTGGAGAGCCAGGCCAGAGCCACCAGCCCCCTCCACACTCACTCAGCAAACACTGACTGACTGACTGACTGCTGGGTAAGTAGGCTCCATGCTAGGGGCTGCAGCTAGAAAATGAATAAGGCTCTTTGCCTCTAGGAGCAGCCACTCCAGTGGGCCAAGTGGTGCCAGAAGCAACAGACACAGCGTGAAAAGTGTATGTGCAAGGGACACAGCGAGAACAGTAATTTCTTCCATTTGGCAGGATTAATGAAGCCCTTCCTGAGATGCTAAGCAGTTGATGAAAAATAAATAGGAGTTTTTCAGGCAGATGAGAGTGGGAGGAGGGCAGCAGCAAAGGGTTAGATTCCTGGTGAGGAGAGAACAAGCTCCGAGCTGTTCTGTCTGCAGCTAGGTAGAGGTTTATGTGTGTTTGATGAAGGCTGCAAAGAACGTGCAAAAAGGGAGTGGTATTAATTTGTAGGATTCTGGGAAATGCCTTTCCCAGTGGCCAAGCAGAATAGATGAGATGAGGCTCTGGGCAGGTCAGACAGGAAAGGAAGCTTCCAACAAGAGGGCCCAGCAAACCAGCTGGCCACGGGCTGGGAAGGAGAAGGGGAGCAGGGCTGAATACCTTGGTGTTGAGGACATTGCTGGCAATTCGGCAGAGCATGAGCAGCCCGTCTTCCTGCATGGACCATGTGACGCGCAGCCGGGTCATCCTCTGCAGGGCGCTCTGGTCAGCTTCATCGTGGTAACGCAGCCGTTTGCTTTTTTCTTCTGGGAGCTCTTCTAGGAACACCACAGGGAGAAGGGAGGGAGCCTCTAACAACTGGTTTGGAGCTGTCTCTGCAGAGAGGAAGGGTCCCTACCCTGCCAGTAAGATGTGACACCAGGCTATCAGTTATCAACATCTTATTGTGTCAGAAGCCATATAAACTAACCACCAAAGACTCAGCCCTGCCTGACAGATTTCTTTTTTATCCCTTCCATCACTTCTCTTTGGTCACATTTCATGGTGACGAGCAGGGCTCTGCCCATCTCCAGTCCTTTCCACTGTGGCATCAAGCCCCGTGAAGCTGCCTCGCACAGAAGCTTAGGGGGCCGGCTCAGGGAGACGCTTAGGCAGCACGCTCACTGAAGGAGCGGGCCCCTACCATTCCACTGCTCTGTGACTGTGGAGATGTTGTGCAAACTCAGGTGCACGGTGGGGACAAGGCCCATCCTGCAGGGCTGCTTTGAGGGCTGAACAACACTTAAGTATAAAACACTTAGTGCAGCAGCTATCACAAAGTAGCTACTACCAAAATAACAATAGTTGCTAACATTATGAAATATTTACTATGTGCCAGGCACTGCTTTAAGCTTTTCACATATATTAACTTAAAATTAAAATAACATTTTGCAACAACCCTGTGAGAAGGATACAGTTATTATCTCCATCTTGTAACTGAAGCTGAAACACAGCAAGATACAGCAACCTGCCCAAAGTTACACAGCCTAGTAGTAGCAGAGAGAGAATATGAACCACAAACTCCTCACCATGA